AGAACAAAGTTAGAAAAACTATGGTTAGATTGTGAAAAACATTACAAAATAAATGCAAGCTACTGAAATAAATTTATATGACTAATTTTCCAACCTATGCTATGCATTAGAATTGCATTTCACTTTATTTTCTAACTCATTCCAATTGGTGGCTTTTCTCTCCAAGGAAATTGTAAAGATTTAGAAAGGTAAAGATTTAGAAAAGGACAAATGATTATTGGGTGTAGTCAATGAAAAACAAGTTATTTTTTTAGCATGCATTTCTAGTTATTTGTTTCTATGGAGGGTCTGGGGATTACATTTACTTTAGCTATTTTACAACTACGTAATTTATAGAAAATGATAGCAATGAAGATGACTCTTGTCCATGTAAGCACAGATTGCATTCATTAGATACTGCATCCACTGGATATCTGTTCTATGGATATTGATAGTTTTGCCAGTTTTTGCATCTATTCATAATGTCAGTTCAGCATTCCTTCTTGACTATGTATGTAAGGATTTGAATGCTTCTTTGAACTGATTCTATTAATGCTATCTTACTTGTTCGCTCATTAATTTATCAGTTAAATACATCTTTGACATTTGTTTATTTTATATCTGTATGATAGTCATGATTATAACTTTTTAAAAAAAATATTTAACAACATGTATCTGTTCTTGATGAATGTCAATGACAAACTAAGATTTTTCTTGAGAAAAAAAATCCTCGTTTCCTAGTTTCCTAAGTGCAATGAAATTATGATAGTTAATAAAAATTTCGATTTTTAATAAGTAAATCCCTACGAATAATAAAAAGTAAATTATCTTATTTATTTTAGGGAATAATGTCATGCACTCTCCCAGAAGTAGATTTGGAACTTCATACACTAGAGATCACAGAAGACAACACAGGAGACACAGGCCAAAACCTGGCATGGAAAGTTGTTTTAAGATATCGTGTTGCATAGAATTGATCGCCTTTCCAGTTCAGATGGTACTTACAGCTGGCAAAACCAACCTCAACAGATTCAAAAAGGCCCGCCTGCTTCAAGTGCTTTATTTCCTGCCTAACACCCTTAGAGCTTGTGACATTGCCACCTGACGCTGCCAGGGACTTCACACTCCCATGCGTGTTGCTTCCAGCCTTCACCAACTGACTGCCTGACATTGTGAAGAACCTCAGATGAAATCATTGACTTCAGTCTAGTTCTCTGTAACTTCTTAGCCATTTAAGTTGACAATGCTCATCTGATGTATGTATATTTAAATTCCTACATTTCTCTAAAGAGTAGGGGATTTTTTAACCAGTGTACTGTGCTGCTTCCTAATTATTCATCTGGGTAAAGTGATATTTTAAATGGATTAGCTTCTCTACAAAAGGTATGACAACCCAGATTTGGAAGTACTTGAATTTGAGAAGTTGTTTTAAAAATTATATACTTTTTTGAATGAATGTTACTATTATGATTCTAAAAGCCGAAATTTCTGTGATGTCAAAGTATGATTCCTACCTTGACTTATCAAATGTCTTACATGTAAAGAGCATGTAATTTTTTTTTTAATTTAACCATCAGAGCTATTTTGAGGATTAAGAAAATAGGCTATTATATATGTCATTTTTTTAATTTGGTCAAAAATATAAACCCTACTCTGGAAAAAGAATACATTAAAAAGCAGAAAATAGAGAATAAAAGCTCCATTTTAGCTTTACCTTTAGAGGAAACCATATTGTCTCTTTGGTTTGGGTTTAGCTCTAAACAAGATTGCCTCGTGTCATGTGGTTGTGATTCTGCCTCATTATAAGACCAGATTTGTGAAAAAACAGAGACTTTGATCTGCAAAGAGTTGTTCAAACTTTAGCAAGAAATGTTAAATATACTGAAAATGTAAACACTACGGTTTATTTGAGTTTTAGTATGTACTAAATAAAAGCAAATGTTTGCTAGCTCCATTTTAACTTCAATGCCTCTAACATTTATAAATACTGTTCTTCATTGTATGCTGATTATACTAACACAAAAAAGAGGGGAAAAGTGAAATAAAAGCCCAAGTGAGAAAAAATGAAAGGCTATCATTTTTACAGCTCTAACATCCTAAACATGTTCTTAATGGAGAAGAGTTGGAGTTTGTGTATGTTTCCTAAGAACCAAATGGATTCATGTCTGCAAAAAGAAACCAACTATTATTAAGTTAATATTTTACTAGTTAAGAATATACCATTTTACTGTAAAGGATGGTCATTTGTTGATTTAGGAAAGAGCTAAAAGCTAAATGTTAACCAATGTTGGATGAAAATGACCCCCCTAAAAGGCAGTCCACATGTATCGCAAAATTCAAACTGAAAGTCAATAATGGATTTCACAAACAAAAGAGATATTATACCCCAATCAACAAAAAACTAGTTTATTCTCAAACTGTATTGAGAATAGGTGAATAAACAAAATATAAATAAACCTTTATTAAAATAAAGGTTTCCTCATCATCTATTTTATGCAAAATTGGGGATCTTCACGATGTATGCAGTTATTCTAAAAATGATATTGGAAATGATAATTTAGAGCAGTGCAACTCAGCAGTTAGATGCTTGTGAATTATACAGAGATCTTGGATACAGATTTTGATTCTTTGGATCTGGGTGAGCCCCGAGATTTGGCATTTCTTGCAAGTCCTTCTGCCAATCTTGTAGTTAGAGGACCACACTCTGAAAAGCAATGTCCTTTAAGTGCCTCCAGTTAAAAAGCACAAATTCTTGACTTTCTTGCCACATTAAGCATTTATACTTGTATACAACATGCACATTTAGGTTAGACATTGGTAATTACAGAGAAAATAAGGCTCTTTTTCCTGCATAGAAACTATCAAATTAAAAGAAGACTTGTTCTGAAAGTTCTATCATCAGTGGAAAAGCCATGTCTCGTACCAGCACCTCAATGCTCCCCTTCCTGCACAGAGTTATACCTAGACAGTACACATTGCAAGGGTTATCTGTCACCCCTCTTGTGGAGGTGGCCCACCATCCCTAGGTCCATTGCCAACTGGAGAATGCTAAGCCAAGAGCTTGGCAAACACAAGATCCTAAAGGGAGGTTCTATTGGTCTACACCTTGAAATTGTGTCTTCCTCCAAGCGGGCTACTGCTTTAATGTATTTTACTTAATTTCTGCATCAAATTCATTAAATTTAAATTTAGGATTGGTACTTCAACTCTCCAATTTTTTTCTCCATTGATTTTGACTTTCCTAAACGGAACACAGAATATCTATCTAGTTGTACATTTTTTTTAGGTTTTTTTATTTTAATTTTTAACTGATACATAATAGATGTATGTATTTTGAGGGTGCATGTAATAATTTAATACATCGATGTAATTTGTAATGATCAAATTGGTGTAATTGTGATATCTATCACATTAAATTATTTATCTCTTCTTCATGCTAGAAACATTCAAATGATTCTGTTCTATTTTGAAATATACGATAGATTATTGTAAACTAATGTCACCCTACTTATCTATCAAACACTCAGTTTCATTTCTTCTATGAAATGGTATGTTTGTACCTATTAATCAACCTTTGTTCATCCTATCCTCCCCACTACACTTCTTGGCCTCTGGTAACCACCAATCTACTCTCTATCTCCATGAGATCTACTATTTTAGCTCCTGCATATGACAGAGAACATGCAATATTTGTCTTTCTGTTCTTGGCTTATTTCACTTAACATAATGCCCTCCAGTTTCATCTGTGTTGCTGTAAATGACAGGATTTCATTCTTGTTTATGGCTGGATAATATTCCATTGTGATTATTATACCACATTTGCTTTATTTTTGCTACTGTGAATAGTGCTACAATAAACATGGAAGTGCAGATATCTCTTCTATATATTTCCTTTCTTTTGGCCATACACCCAATAATGGAATTGCTGAATCATATAGTAGTTCTCCTTATAGTTTTCTGAGGAACCTCCATGCAGTTTTCCATAGTGGCTGTATTAATTTACATTCCTTTCTTTCCTTTTGTTACTCCATCTGCATGTGCCTTTGGCAAAGCTTCAACCACCTCCAGGTAAGTGTGCAAAGCAAAGATGTTAGAGCCTTAAAGGGGTGCTATGCACTCTGATATTCCTCTCCCAGTGATATTTGGAAGCAAGTGAGAGTTTAAGTATGGGTACATGGATCTGAACAAATGTATGGACTACATGGCACATTCAGGAGGCCACTCATAACAGTTTTTGAGTGAACTTTCACATGTAAGAATATTTAGAGAAACAGATTCTATCCTGTTGAGAAGTAATACTCAAACCAAATATTTTCTGCTGCTATGATATCATCCCCAAACTATTTCCCGGTTCCCTTCACCTGCAAGACATTCAAATGGCTAATTTAGTGGCCACTGTGGTTTGGCTTCAGACCATGTTTTATGGACATTTCCACTAGTTTATCTGAGAGTTCCCAAATAGTTTGCAGTCAGTCCAAAGTTCTGTGACACAGAACACCCTTGAATACCTCCAAAAATAAATCCAGAAGTCTAAAGAGTTTTTCAAGGGAAATCTACCACACATTTTAATTGTTGGGACAGCATTATTTGTGTAATGGTTTACACAAATAATGACCTAATGAACATTTGTCACATGAATGAATGCAGATCTAGTATAGATTGTTCTTTCAATAAGAACAATGATCATGTCTTTTTGTGTGCACACTCATTATAAAACACATGTTTCTCTTTTATTAGGATATCAATAAATGTTTGTGAGTGAAAATATACAATTGCACTAGGTATATACAGTTTTACCTTCATGTTCGGGGTGACTGAATTACACACAGTATCTCTCTACCAATGAAAAACAAAAACTATTTTGATAATATATTATTTATTATCTTGGTTTTGTGGACATGACCACTGAACATATGTAGACTAGAAACCCTACAGGTAGAGGGAGAAAAGCCTGCGGGGGTGTTTCATGCTGTATGATAGGCTGATTTCAGACTATGTTATAAAGCCATCTTAAAACTCACTTCTTCCATGTAGGTTTTCAATGATTGTCCTTCACTGGAGCCTTCTCCCTAGAGGCAAAGAGAAATAGAGGTTGAAAAAATTGGGAGAAGGGGAGAAAAAGAATGAAAAGATCATGAAGAATAGTGAGATCTGAGAGCAACACCAAATCTTTCCTATCCCCCACCTTCTCAGCTGATACTTGTGGGATTATCAGTTTGTCAACTTCTTACTCTTTGAAGGAGATGATCATTTTTTCAAGACAATAAGATACCTTTCAGGTGAATTTTAATTCATGTAAACAAATAACCAGCTAGAGTAGGTCACTAAATCTTAGGACAAGATGCTAAACAAATTGTATAATATTTTCTGTTATGAATTTTATAAATATATTCTTAAAATTAGATTAAGAAAAGAAGTCACAAATTTTGTATCCTATACATTGGTGTGAAGATCTAACACATGGACTTAAAAAATATTTTATGGAAAGAGGACAGATCATTAACCTTTATATTCAGTCTTTACAACAAATATTTCTTAGCTTACTATTATGTAATTAGTAAATTCTCCATTATTTGTGCCTTGGACTAGCATTTCATTGAACACTAGCATTAATTGAGATTTATATCATTGAAATCTAAAACATCAAGTTAAACATATATCCCTAACTCATCTAAGCATTGTTGGTCAAAATTGTCAAACAACTTGTCAGTGTGGATAAATTATAATTTTATACTCCATGGCCACAGATATTTGGAAGTAAATGCTGAGATAGCATGAAATGATAAATTCTAGAACACCATATGTGTTTATAAGATAACTCAATAAATGTGCATAAAGCTTACATTTGTCTCTATAAGATATATTCTAACTGTTCAAGTACCCTTAGGTATATTATCTAATTGAGGGAAAGACATCCTCAAGCCAATTTGATGCTTAGGAAAATTGAAGCCAGGAGGAGTGGCATGAAATGCTTAAAGTCAAGGAGGTAGGCAAAGCACTACTGTGACTGGATTCCAGTCTGATACTTTTCTATGTCACTGAAATAAAAAATTTTTAAACGTAAATTAAATTCATCTTAGTTTTAAAAAAAGACTTGTGATGTATGCACCAAAGCACTTGGGGGAAGGGGAGAGGCACCATGCTCATGTCATAACAAAAATTAAGCTGGGGATCAAATGCTGATATTCCTAAAAACCTAGAAATCACAGGTCAAACCACAGACATGGTAATGTTTCTTCCCAAATCATGGTTTCCACCAGTGAAAAATTAATATGTTGGAGTTTAAATGTTTCCAAATGCTTCCAAGATTGTGGGATTTTCAATGGATAAAATAGTGAAAGAGATAAGATAGTTCTACTTACTTAAAGAGTAAACTATTTGGAAAAAATCAAATCCATATAAAATCCCCAAAACTGTGAGGAATTTAAGTCGAAGTACACAGAGAGAGCTGGAAACTTCCTTCAGATAAACTATGTTTGGAGTTGACCTTGCTATACTCTCTCCCCTTATTTGAACAACTAATCTAGAAAGAGTGCTATGGGTTCTTCCAGTGTGGCTTTTCCATGTGACAGAACTAGTTTCTTTGTGTGCTAATAATCCCTACCCCTTTGCCTGGGTTGCTAGGAGTAAGAGGACAAGCTGGCAAACTGCCTGGAGTTATAGGTGTGCTTTCTGGCACAGCCAGCGTGGGAGGCCTGGCTGGCTAGCCTCCAAACATTTCAGGGTTAAGGCTGAGATGCAAGAGAGAAGATCCAGGGAGCCCACTGAAAAGTGCAATTTGTTTCCTTAGAGCTAGAATGCAATGGTTTTTCACAATTTTTCTGGACATTTGCAGTCTTCTGCTAAGACCTGGTGATGACTGAGGGTTTTCCTGATGATCAAATGGAAATAAAGCAGCCTTCTTGACAGCTTTGCTTCTTCCCATAGTGCCAGGTCTTTTCAATATCTACACCATAGAAAAGGAGAAACCCAAACAATAGCATTTGTTTCAAAGGCCATAGGTACTACCCAAGTTTGGCTGCTACTGCCATTCAAGAATCACTGTCATGGTGGCCCTGATGAATGAGGAGCGCAAAGAAAAAGACTCTAGGAGGAAAATACAGAGGAAACTAACACTTTGCAGAGGTGATTACAAATGTGACACGAGGCCAAGTGGACAAAGCAAAGAATAAGACATTGGGACCTCTGATTCTTAGGGTCATTCTGAGGGTCATTCTTAGGGTCTTTCTTAAAGATGGCCCCAGTCAAGAGACTTGATCCAATATGTCTGTCTCTGCTTCCCTATTTCCAGCATGGGACCACTGAAATGCTAACATTCCCTCCTCCTCCCACCGGAGGCGCTAATGGAATAAAATCCCTTTCAAAACAAAAAGATATCAATTTCAGTCATCCTTCTCTTAATTTTAAAGAATTGATATTTTAAACATCAAGTCATTTTAGCAACATAATATTTTGGTAATTACCTGGAAATGAATCAAAAATGCCCAAATGCAATTTCCCTTGAAAAACAAACAGGGAAAAGGGGTTACAAGGGAGGCAGACAGGGGCGTGTGAAGGAGAGAAAAGACAGAATACATGGAAATCAGGCCTTAAAAAAAAAGCAAAAGAAGATATTTCCTGAAATGTGGTTTCACTTATCACGAATGCTTAATATAATCACAGTTGAGATAAAAATATTTTAAATATGAATTAGAAAATACGTTATAAACGCAGAGAAAGGGGGAAAAAGAGACTGATGTAATTACTGCTTAACATGTGACATGGGATAATGGCTGTGAGGGATGAAGGCTCTTGTTGTTCCCATGGTCATTTTACAGTTAAGGAAATGTTCTCAGTAAGATAGAATATCCTAGAAAAAGAGGTAGGACTAGACCCACATTCTGTTGGATCTATTGCCACTTTTCACAAAACCTGCTTCTTGTTTCAGTCAATTAGTGTTTTCTATTCATCTTTTATTAATCCTTAGACGAAATGCAAGCAGACTGGCACTTGCATGTAGGGTACGTTTATTCACAAACATTGTATGGCTAAGACCTCTGGCATTAATTTCCTTTAGAAAAAAAAGGTTTCATGAGAACTCTACCAGTATGATCTTTCTTCCCACCGTTTCCCAATGAAACTAAACAATAATCCTAACACACAGAGCACCCTCTTAAGAAGTACCTATCTGATATATTTGGGACCCATAAAAGGGTGGGAACTTAATAGGAATGGCCAGGGCATTTCTGAACCCAAAGGGACTCATAAAACTTCGCCCATTATTTATTCCACAAGCATTTATTAAGCACCTATTTGTGCCATATACTGTGCTAGGTGCTGAGACAATGAGTTGAACAAGAACTAATCCTTACTATAGAAAGTGTATCTTAAGAACACAGATATACAGGGGTTTAGATGGCAGAGCAAAAGTTACTTGACACGAGTAAGACCATGGTGCTATGGGAAAAAATAAGAAGAAAAAGCACCAAGACTTTTGTTTATTTATTTAACAAGTATGTATTGAGAACTCCAATGTGCTGAGAACTACTGTAGCCACTGCATACATATGATGAAGATGCCAAAGTGGAAGGAGTAAGAGAGTGATGAGTGAGGAAATTATTTTTAAGCTTAGTCCTGAAGACTTAGTCAATTAGTCAGGTAAAGGAGGTGACTGAGGAGGAGAACTCACATCAGGAAGAAGGAAAATTTTGTGCAAGGGCCTAGACATGACAGAGAAAATATGTGAAACCACAGATATTACAATGAGGGACATCAGTTACTCCAGGCACTAAAATGAATACTGTATTTTCAGATACAGAGATATTAACATCATGAGTCACTTTCTAATTTCATATTACAATTTTTTGTAATACAGCTCTTAATACCATGGCTGTATGTTGTGTTTTCTAACTGCATTATTACACAGGGTTACTAAATTGTTGACAGATGATAAAGAGATTGACATTCACCTTTCCAAACTTGGCAACTGCTATAGGTAACTGTGGGGCGCGGTGTTAACGCCATTGCAAAATGGCGCCGGCTTTCTGGTCACGCCGATACTACAGGACTGATAAACAGGGTGAACCACGCAGGTGTAGGGGCTTTTCCTGTCTCATTAAGTATGCATATGAAGGATCTTAGCTTGGCCTATCAGTAATAACCCTCGCGCGCTTTTAACCTATCCCCATCACTTCCCTCCTTCCTTAGAGTATATAAGTGTGTGAGAGCTTGTGCTCAGGGTCTTCCGCATTATGAAAGTCTAAAGGGAACCCCATTAAAGCACTGTCAGAAGAACTCCGGTTGCCGCATCTTCCTTGCTGGTCGAGGGGGTGCGACAGGTAACCACTATTATTGATGTTCAACAGAACAGGCAGTGATCAATTTCCATTAATGGAAAACTAGGTGCAATATTATAGAAACTCAGAAATATTTGGAAAACTCAAAAGACTCTGAAATCATTGATATATTCAATAAATTAATAGCATGTTTACTTTCAGACCTGGATATATGAACAGATCCTGTTTCTGTTTAAATGCCCCAATGTCTTTTCATATTAAGCTTAAAAAGCTTTTTGAAAACTTGTCCACAATTTTCTGAACAAATATAACACCAGTACAGATCACCTTTCCCTGAAAATGACACCTTTAACCAATGGAGAAGATACTTCACTACTTTAGCATTGCGAAGGACCAAAGATAATGCATTTTAAGATAAGATGTTATGATTCACTCTGCAATTTACATTTTTTCTTCAGGTTTTTCATATTAAGCTAAATAATTCCTTTAGTGGTAATGCTTTTGCTTTAGAGATTTACCTTATAATGAAAAAGAGTAGGAGCAATTATGTTACTAATGACTATTACTAAGAGTGTTAAATTTCAAATGATTTAAGATATTTGAGAGTTCTTTCTTATTTTCCAAAAAGTGACTATTCAGTTTCAAAGAAAAATGTATTTTGATTCTTCCTTTTCCTTTAATAATATAGGAAAAAGGGAGAGGGCAAAACCAGAAACAAGAGGCTCCATATTTGGAAAAGGGGTGGCTTTTATCAGTGGATGTTGGACAAGAGAAGTGACAGGGTGAGAGGGTCT